GAGAGAGAGAGAGAGAGAGAGAGAGAGAGAGAGAGAGAGAGAGAGAGAGAGAGAGAGAGAGAGAACCAAGGAGAAAATATCATGGAGGAAAATACACAGTTCGGTATCATAACTATAAATGTGAATGGGATCAATTCACCCATAAAATGGAAGTGGATAGCAAAATGGATTAAAAACCAGAATCCTACAATATGTTGTTTACAAGAAAAACATTTGAAATAGAGAAACACACAAAGGGTAAAGCTAAGGGGCTGGAGAAGAATCTATTATGCTTCAGCTGAAGCGAAGAAAGCAGGGGTAGCAATCATGATCTCAGACAAAGCAAGAACAAAAATAGATGTATTTAAAAGAGATGAGGAAGGAAACTATATTTTGTTGAAAATTTATTTGTTTTTTTTTAAGTTTTGAATTTCAAATTCTAGCCTTCCCTCCACTCCCCATCACTGTGATGGATGACCAGTAAGGTATAGGTTATACATATGCAATCATGTAAAACATTTCTATATTAGTCATTTTGTACAAGACTTGAATAAAAGAAAAAGAATGAAAGAAGGTTAAATAGCAGGTTTCATTCTGTATTCAAACAATATCAGTTCTTTCTCTGGAGGCAGACAGTATGCTTCATCATTAGACCTTTGGAATTTTCTTGGATCATTATATTGCTCAGAATAGCAAGTTATTCACAGTTCTTCATTGAACAATATTGCTGTTATTATATATAACATTCTCCTGGATCTGTTCACTTCACTGTGCATCAGTTCATATAAATCTTTCCAGGTTTTTCTGAAATCTTCTTGCCTGTCATTTCTTATAGCACAATAATATTCCATTACAATCATATACTACAGTTTATTTAACCATTCCCCAACTGATGGGCATCCCTTCAATTTCGAATTCTTAACCACAACAAAAGAGCTGCTATAAATATTAATAGGTCCTGTCCCCCTTTTTTATGTCATTGGAATGTAGACTTAGCGATATTATTGCTGAATCAAAGGATATGCTAATAAGCCCCCACATCTGAACCCCCTCTTAATAGTTAGTCTATTAAAACAATTAGTTCAAAGCCTAGGCATTTACTGAGATATTTTGTATGTACATGTAGTTAAGATGCCTTGTTTCTATATGGAACTATGTAGCTACAAAATATCCCCACAACATTAACCTGAAGTATATTTTCCCATAAATCTACAGTATCCATGGGAAGAAAGGACAGATTCTTACGCAAAGACACTTGTAGGGAACACTTGTAGTCAAGAAGACTCAATTCTCTGATACTGTAGGGCCTTGATGACCTTTCTCTCCTCATGGAGGCCACTTGAGCCTTCCCTTTCCCTAGGTTCCATGTCCCTGCAGGTCAGTTCCCAAAGCTAATTCTCCCTTAGGTTTGTATTTTTATTTCTTCCCTGTTGCCAGAGGTGCCATCCCTTGAAGCTGCTGTGTATTGATGCTAAAATGGTGCCTCTTATTGGGCAAATGAAGAGTGACATGTTGGGGGAGAGGAAAGAAAAACACATGCTTTCTGTCACTCTCTAATATAGATGCAGTGGTCACATTCTACAAAGTTGCTCTTTGCCTGGAGTGATTGCTAAATTGGTGAACTCAGCTTTTTAATGGTCCATAGTGGGTATGGCTAATATTCTGCAGCCAATAATAGTGTTCCTTCCAATTCAGTCAAAGAAAATTCCTTCACACTTCTTAAAGCAAAGGTTTTTAACCTGGGGTCTATAGATGTTGGGGGTGGAGTAGGGAGAGGTGGTCTATGGATAGATTTCAGGGGTCTGTGAACTTGAATGGGGGAAATTGCATCTTTATTTTCAATAATCTCTCATTGAAATTTAACATTTCTTCCAATTATTTTAAAATGTTATTCTAAGGAAGGGTTTAAAGGTTTCAGCAGACTGCTAAAAGGTTAAGAATTTTATTGTAAAAGGATGTCAGCTGTCAAGCTAATTTGGTTAAGAAGAAAAGTTTTTCACCCTTTGTGACGTGCTGCAAGTATTTGCAGTTCATTAATATTCATACCTCATTGCCTTTGATATCTTCCTCTTGCTCTCTATAATTACTTCAGTTACATCTGTTTGTAGGGAAGAAGGGGGGAGGGTTCAAGTACCATGCATAATGCTAGACTGATAGTAAAATTTATGTTGCTATATATTATCTTCTGACTTTCCATTGTGCACATTTTCTATTCCTTCATGTATTTTTTCCTTTAATTCACCAGGGTGAATTACATAAGCAGTGTGCTTCTCATGGTAAAGTTAGACTCAACACACTGAATGAAAATGCCTTCCATGATCCCGCTGGGAAAATATCAGATAATGAAACCCACTGTGGTTGGGCACCATTTGGTAAGCTCACTATTCTAATAATCCTTTATTCATTTATTTTATTTGTCACTTATAATAACTTAGTGATTTTGCATTTGAAGTTATGGGCAGAAATTACATTTGTTTTCTAGCCTTACTAATTTGTGCAATAATTGTGGATGCTCTTAAGAAATATACCTTAATTTCAAAGACAGGGTTCCCAATAGAAAAAAAAATCACTACTGTAAACATTGCAGCAAATAAATAATTTGTTTACAATAACTTAGAGCTATTAGTATCTTTTATTTAGCCTAAAAAAGCTAAATAAAATAGCATTAGTTTCTGAATATATCCCTCCTGTTCACTCCTATTCAGGGTGCCTTCCCCAAAGATTTTTTAAAAGAAAAAAATTAACAAAATCAACCAACACATCAATTGCATCTGACAGCATAGACAGTATTCAATACCCATAATCCTCTATTTCCACAAAGAAAGTGGAGGGGGGAGTGGATTTTCTCAACTCTTTTCAGGGGCCAAGCATGGAAATAATAATTACAACTTCCTGTTTCACTTTGTTCTTTCTTTTTAAATTATTGGAGCAATTATGCCTACATACACACATATAGTTTTCCAAGTTAATGTTTACTTCATGTAAGTTCGTAAAAGTTTTCTCATGTTCCTCTGAATTATTTATATTAATCATTTTTAGGGTATAATAATATTCTATTATATTCATTTGCCACAATTTGTTTAGCCAATCCATAATTAATGGCTACCTATTTTCTTTCCAGTCCTATACTATGGACTACAATTAATATTTTGACATATTTGGGACCTTTCTTTCTGTCTTTGATTTCCTTGGAATAACATATCTAGCACATATAGAGATATAGTGATATCTATATAACACTATAGATAGTGGCATCTCTGAGTTCCAGAACTGGGTATATCACTTTCTTCACACCATTCCATATTGCTTTCAGAATGATTGGATCAAATAACAGCTTCACAAGCAATATATTAGTATTGGAGTGGGCCTGATGCCAATATTCTGTTAGTTCAATTTCAATGCTAGGAGGAAATATTAAAGTCAGGGAACAGTTAACTTAAGAGATTTTGCTTAGCCCTAAAACATCAAAGATATGGTAGTATTTTACTTCTACAGACTATAGATTTTACCACCTCTCCCATCTCCATATGGAAATATAACTGATCAGCAAAGTAGCATATGGTAATATGAATAGTCATCCTACATGTATGGAAGGGCCTGATCCCACCTGGGTGGTACTTTTTAATGCCCCTAGTTGACCAGAAATCCATGTCAACATAGTCATAAGCCACAAGGAAACTGCATTAAGAAACAGTTTGAGCTTTGCCTCACCTACAAACTAATCAAGTCTTGACTATATTACACTTTTTCCTAACCCATGCTGGGGGGAGGAGGGAGAGTAATAGATGAAGGAGAAGCCTGGTAGATATTATTGATATTGTTCCTATTGCATACCAACACATTGCATCAATGTTCTAAGCATCTTCTAGAGTAGTGCTATCAAACTCAAATAAGAACAGATCCCTTCATGGGGTGGAGTAGGGGGCATATTGACTTAGAAAACTACAAATTAACATTGTCTGTGTTGTATTGTATTTTAATTTCTTTTGTTAAACATTTGCCAATTACATTTTAATTTGGTTCCAGCCAGGTTGGGGATTTTCGGGCTTAGAGTTTAATATTTTTCTTCTAGAGGACCTTCAACCATTTAAATGCTTTTAGGAATTTTTAGGGTTTTTAGGGTTGTTAATTTTTTCTTTCACCCTTTAAGCTACAGTCTTCCCAACCCCAAACAGTAAAGAAAAAGAAAAAATGAAAAAGAAAAATATGAAAAACAAAAACCAGAAATTCTGGATTTTTCCTTTCCCACTCATATCTTTAGAATATGGTCAGTGTGCATAATGCCAAATCTTTGCAGTTCTTAGTGGCTCTTCAAGTGAGTGGGGGTGATGAGTCATATCAGCAGCAGGCATATCTAGGATACAGCCTAGATGAAACATTTCTGTCACAGACACAGATTCTTCATCATTCATCAGGTTTATCTTTATTAAAGTAGCAAAAATGTCATAAGCTTCTTAAATGCAACTTGTTGCAGGATCTAAGTTGATACTGAAGCTTTCCCAGTACCACCACCATTCAGTATGCCCAGGCTCAACCACCAAAATCTCCCCTCCCTGACAGCCACACCAGGGAAATGATTTAAAATCTTTTATCTCTTAGAGACATCTATGGAGGGGTTGACTTCTTTTCCTATAGAAGTTAAATAAGGACTCTCCCTTGTTCCCATAATCACCAAAGTCAAGCAGAGGATCCTCTTTCTTCCAAGTAAATACAAATCCACCATAGTTATATAGTGACAGTTTTCGCCTCCCCTGTGCTATTAGAAAACAATAATACCAAACCTTGGTTGCCCAAGGCCTTTCTGGGCAAGAGTTGTCTGAACCATCCCAGAGGAAGCCTGACAACTAAGAGGGGACAAGGACTTCGAGGCCAAAGTTACTCTGTACAAAGGAAAAAATAATGAAGAGCCAGAGGGGGTCAGCCAGAACTGTGTTCAAAAGGAATCCATTCTTATCAGGTGCCTAATAATTGGATCCTAGAATCCACCGAGAGAACCCTTCCCCTTCGTGGAGTGATATTGACTTGTCAAAGATATGGCTTCTGGGAGGTTAGACACCTGACATGGATAATCAGGTTCATTACAGTGTATACTTGAAGAGGCAAAACTCTTCCCCTGAGATGAGAAGGTAACATTTTACCATTTGAGGACCAGTTGAGGGCACTTTGGCTTAGTACTCCAGCTGTCTTAAGGAGCCCAATTGGACAGGAATAGCTGCCTTATTCTTATGTAGATCATAAGGTCCCATGCCCAACCTACATAGCATTATCACCCCAATGTGGATATTGGCAGTAGAACTCCAGCCTCTAATATTCTTGAAATGGCTCCAATCTAATTAGTATAAGATGTCTCCAATGGGTGCTAACATCAACCACAAACTCTGTAGTAATCACCATAGATAAATATCTTTTCTGCCCCATCCTTTAAAGTTCTCTCACTTGCCACCCATGCAACATGGAGCTCAGCTCACTGGAAAGGGTTACCAGGATTCTCATTCCTCTGTTAAAGAGATTCAATTATGTAGTTTAATTAAGTAGTTCAATTACTTATGCCTCTCTCATAGCAGATAGAGCCATTGGGAAACTAGGCAAAATGACATCCTTCTGGAACTAGGTCCTTAGAGGTGGGAGGCCATTGGACCAAGGGGAAGAAGGGTTTTAAGACTGGATTAAAGGACTCAGTCTCTGGCATATTCACCACCTGTTAGTGATTAACATTAATACGAGAGGGACCCGGGCCAGCATGATTTTTAATGTCACTTCCACTTAAAAATAGAAGCCTCCTGAGCCCTACCCAACTTATTAGAGGGACAATCACGTATCACCCAACTCATAATTGACAATTCTGGGTAAAGGTTGAATTGTATGACCCTGTGATATCTGTTCAAAGTGCCTAATAACAGAAAAGCAACTGCCTTTCAGAAGTGATGTATTGAGTGGCTGCTTTAAGGAATTTGGAGCCCTCATGGCCTAATAACAGTAGCTTATTCTTGCCACCTCTTGGTATCTGTCAAATAGACTCAGGCTGGTCATTATGGACAGAGACTTAGAGAAACATGGGGTCTTGCATTATCAAAAAGGACTCATTGGGAGAATCTGCTGGAAAGCCTTCTTTTGAACTTCCAGGTCTGTATGAGTGGTGGGGAACCTGCAGGCTCGAGGCCACATGTGGTCCTCTAGATCCTCAAGTGAGGCTCTTTGACTGAATCCAAACTTCACAGAACAAATCCCCTTAGTAAAAGGATTTGTTCTGTAAAACTTGGACTTAGTCAAAAGGTGACACCCAAGAACATAGAAGGCTACATGTGGCCTCAAGGCCACATGTTCTCCACCCCTGGCTATAGTCTATTCTGAAAGAGGTGGATTCGTGGGTAACTCAATGAATAGTTTCGATTAGGAGACCCTGATAGGAAATGGAGATTCTCCAAAATCTGAAGAGTCCAATAAGTCTCTGGGCTTCCTTCTTAGTTGTGGGGAAGTGTCAGTAGTTTACTCTGAACTGTTCCTGGAACGCTCTGGGATTTTTTCCCATCCACTCTGTATTCCCAAAAACTTGACTGGACTAGAGCAGATTTTGTTAGGTTGATTTTCCACCTTTATCTCTCAAATAGGCCACCTTCTGATCTAGGGCCTCTGCTACTATCGCTCATCAGTCTTCTATAGAGTGGTACACATCAGTCCCCTCAAGAGGCAAAGACTTTTTCAATCCTCTGCTCACTGCCATATGGCAGTTCAGGTAGATAAACAGCTAGCCTTGGGGAAGAATAGTGAAAGTATATTGGACTCTTTCCTAGTGAAGGCAAACTCTTCCTGGCTAATCTCACTGAGGTCAATAATCCCATATGACTCAACCTGTGTCTAGGCTACTTGATCTATGACACAGATGAGGTCAGGGACAGTTGTAGTAATAAAAATAACTTTATTCTGCTACCTGTTGCCCATTTTAAACTGCTAGATGCCTTATACCTTCCTCATAGGCAACACAGGGTTGCTGTAAGGAGAACTGTTATGATGAAGTACTCTGGCTTCCTTTATCTCCATCACTAGAGAAGAAATCTCTTTCACTCCCTGGGGACTTAATATTGTTTTATATTATTTAAACATGATTATTTAGGCAACTCTAAAGCTTTCTATTTTGACCTACCAGCAAAGAGGTTGTTACTGACTTCCAAAAATTCATGATGCCCCTTTCAAGGTCTGACCTCTATAGCCTCCCCAAATGATTCAAGTAGGAAAAGAGCTTTAAATGATGCCTTAGACTTGGGTGGGGTTGAAGGATACCTACTGCCCTTGTGAATTTCTTTGTACAATTTTACTGGCACCCATTGCTCCATCTAAAGCCCTCTCCCAGATAGGACATCATTGCCCTATGTCCTCACCACCCGACATCAGCAAGGGAGTGGGTTCTGTGGCATCTCATTCCCAGAGCACCTACTTAAGGGAAGAAGTATTTGTCCAAGCTGCAACTGTTCCAAACTTCTACCCAAAGTACACCTTCTGGTTAGCCCCAACTTCTACAGTTCTGTGGCAGAGGAAAAACATAGCTAAGGTCTAAAACCATTCTGGTAGGACTATATCCAAAAGGTGGGATCTAAATGCCCCTAAGTCAGGGTTATCATAATGTGTGTCAAGTTATGAGGGAACTCCATAGATACAATCTATCAAGCTGATTTCATTTAAGAACTTCACTCCCTCCAATTCAAAGCTCTACTGGGGAAATTGCTGCAGCGGGAATTTATCTTTTCAGGATTAGATGTGAATAAATCTCTGTCTCAGCCTAAAGAAGGACAAAGGGAAACCTGCAATTTATTTAGCTGACTTTGCAGTACTAAGTCCTCAGACAAGCTTCACAGGCCTATGAAATTCAGACACAGAGTATCAGCATTGGTGCCATTAGATTACACTTTCACAGGAGCCATTACTCCAGTTCTATTTGATCTTCTTGTTCAGCCACCCCAATTGCTTGATGGTGAAAGGCTGCCCACTCCCTACTTCCAGTAGAGAAAATCACCCTTTCCTCATCCCCAAGAGCAGTAACAAGCCTAGAGAGTTGTTTTGTTTGTTTGTTTGTTTGTTTGTTTTTAAATTTCACCGCTGGTGGTGATTCCTGGGTCTCCTTTTCACTTCTGATATCATTCTCCTGCTCCACTCTCAGTGGGATGCAATGAAACCTCAGGGTCAGAGATCATATTGTGAGTTCTTGGTAGTGGCCTGTCAGTCCCCACTCCAATCGAGAGATCCTTTCACTGCTATCACCATCTTTATTTGCTGACCCTTGACCTGCACTGCACCATTGCTAAAAGCCAAGGGGTCTCTCACTCTCTCTCTCTCTCACTAGTTACTGAATGTCTAGGTCGGTTCACTTTCAGTCTTGCTATTCGGATATTCCAAGATGGTAAAAAAAAAAAAAAAAAAAACCAACCAGGTAAGGCTGAACATGGTGCTTTCTTTACTTTCCTGGGCAACCTCCTCCTGCATTCACTGAACTGAATGAGAGTCTTCTCCTTTTCCTTCAAGAGGACTTCCCATGTTCCTTTTTCATTAAGATGACTCCCCATACACAGCCAGAAGGAACCTTGGCAGAGGGTACCAGACTACCATATCTGATCATCTCAGCCTCCATATTTGCACTTCCCTACCTCCAACTAAACCATTAGCCATGAGGTCACTTTATCCTAATTGTTGACTACACCAAACGTTAGTGGCAAGCCTGACTCTGGCACCCTGTTACTTCAGGTTGGGACTATCTGAGGCACTTCTAAGCCAATGAACAGTTAATTCAGTCCTAAAATAGCAAGAATATGGAAGAAGCATATAGTAGTGCTTAGCTTCTATAGACTCACCACCCCTTCCCTCCCCATTTCGATAGTGAAATATATCTGATCAGTAGAGCAGAGTTTGGTGACTTGCATAGTCTTCTGATATCCATTGTGTTGGAAGGGCCTAATCCTACATGAGTGGAATCTTTTTTATGCCCTTAGGTGACCAGGGAGCCAGGTCAATAAAGTCAAAGGCCACAAGGTATCTGCTTCAAGAGAGAAATAGCTTAAGCTCTGTCCCACCTCCAGGCCAATCAATTCCTGGTTTTGTCACCTTTTCCTAATCTAAGTGGGGTGGTGGGGTGGAGGATAAGGGAACCCTGGTAGCTATTAGTCCTATCACAGTTAGGGTGTCTGTGTTCCTGCAGCTACTGCAACATTTTCTATTTCCATCTTTTGTAATTTTTTGCCAATTTGATATATATATATGGTAAAATCTCCATGTTATTTTTCATTTGCTTTTCTCTTATTAGTGATTTGGAGTAACTTTTATGTGGCTGTTAATAATCTAAGTTCTTCTGAAAACTTTTTACTATAACTTTTGTCTACTTGTTGTAGTTTGTGGCCTACATATTTGTGCTATATAGATACATGTGTGTATAAGTATATCAGATTCTTATCAGAGACATTTGATGCAAGATTTTTTCATATTCATTTAACTGCATTGTTTAAACCACTCACATTAAAGTTATGAATTTTAGGGTTGTGTTTTCTCCTATTTGTTTGTTTTGTATCATTTTTATCTTCTTTGTTTTTTAGGCTAACATTTCATTCCTGACATTAACTTTGCTTACACTACTTTAATGAATATCTATTTCTAAGGTTCTCTATCTCTCTCTCTGTTAATCTGCCCCAAACTAAATTCCTTTAATTTATTTAAATAATTTCCCTTCCTTTCTTTTTTTCTTCCTTCTTTCACTCTTTCTTTCCTCCTTCCTTCCTAACTACCTCCCTTCTTTTTTCCTTCTATTTCCTTCTTTTGATCTTTTTCTTTCATCTAGGCCAACTAGACATTTTCAGAGTATGCTGGAACTAGCTCACATAAGCTCATAAAAGTCAATTGTTAATTTTTTTTTGTATTACATTTATTTTAACATTAATTTTTTTTAAAAAATTTGAGTTCCAAATTCTTTTCCTACCTCTTCCCACCCCATTGAGAAAGCAAGCAATATGCTATCAATTACACATGTGAAGTCATGCAAAATATATTTCCATATTAGCCATATTGCAAAAACAACAACAACAAAAAGCAATAAATGTAAACAGTGAAAAAAAAAGCACGCTTCAATCTACACTCAGACTTCAACAGTTCTCTCTCTGGAAATGGATATCATTTTTCATCATTGGTCTTTTGGAATTGTCTTGGATCTTTTTTTTTTTTAAATCAGAATAGCTGTTTGTCACAACTATCATTGTTACAATATTGTTGTTACCATGTACAATGTTCTCCTGTTTCTGCTCAATTCACTTTGTGTCAGTTCATATAAGTATTCCCAGGTTTTTCTGAAACCATCCTGCTTGTCATTTCTTATATTGTTTGTATATATATATGTGTATATGTTTATGTATGCATATTGTGTATATTATGGAGTGTATATGTGTGTGTTGGTGTGTGTGTATATGTATGAAATGATCATTTAAAATTGAGGCATAGATATGTAAGTTGCAGACACATCAACTTTATCTTTCCTCACTAAGAAATCTAGGAGAATATTAAAAGTCACGTTTCCTATATTCACACTCACCCCTTTCTGATTCAAGAGTGTTACCCAGACTTTAATGAGGACAAATTTTTGCACCTTTTTTAAAGTACCTTTTAATATGAGTACCACTAATAATGAACTTATCTCATTGTTTAGATAAAAAGAACTATCAGCAATTACTGGGAGCATTGGATTATTCATTCCTTTGTGCTTATGCAATTGGAATGTATTTAAGGTAAGTATTATTTAATTTGGTTTTTAAGAGTCCTCTCTATATATGACTAACATTTCTGTTAGATCTCATGGCCTTCATCTATCTTGTAGCCACATCCTCTAGGGAAAAAGAACTATTTGGACACTTCATACTCTATGGAACACCTTTATTTACCATTGAGAGGCAAAAGCAATGCCTGCCCCATACCTAACTCAACTCTGTTCAGACAATGAACTCTACCCTCCAATGCATTCTGATGCCCTTTATTTTGTTTTTACCCCAGCCAGAGGACAAATCCATTTTCCACATTAAAAATGTTTTAATGTACTTTTGACATAATCAAGAATCACTGCCAATCTCTGTAGCTCTTAATATTCTTTTGCTGTAAATGGGCAGAGAAGATAAATAGTGAATACTGCTTACTTATCTCTTATTTTGTTTTGTTTTTTTATCTATTTTAAACCACACACACACAAAAAAAAAACAACTCATCTCTCAGAGCTTAAAAAATTCTCAATTTGCCTAATAGTTCCTTATTCTATCCTAATAGTTTCTTTTACTTTTATAACAATATAATGCTAAGTAGTTTCAGTATTATTCCCATTTTACAAATGAGGAAACTAAAGCTTTGTAACATTAAGTGACTTGCTCTTGGAACAAAAAGTTGGGGAGCCAGCATTTAAATCCAGGTCCCCTGATTCTAAGTCTAGCATTCTTTAAACTATTCCATCCTATTTAGATATGGATATTTGACTTAAAGTATAATAGAGGAACCATTCAGCATGCTATATCAATGACTAATGTTTCAGACAATCATCAAACTATACAGTGGTATAGATTGGCAGAATTTATATAGAATTATATATATATATATATATATATATATAAAATTTATCTAGACTGATTTCATCATTTGATAGATGAAATAAATGATGTCCAGAGGTGTGCAACCCTGGTAATACCAAAAAGGTAATATTCAGAGCTAGAGAGCTTATTATAACTTTAAAAATTTAGAGTATCAAAAGAAAATAAGTAATTATCAACTTTTAGAAAGTAAGACCTGAATCAACCAATCAGTTAATTAATAAATGTTAAACACCTACCATTTGCCAGGCACCATGCTGTGTGCTGGGGATACAAAGACAAAAGCAAAATACTCCTTGCCCTCAAGTGGCTTGCATATATTTGTATTCAAAACATATATAAAACAGAAACAAGTTAACTTTGGAGAAAAAAGCAGATCAGAAAAGATTGAACATAGAAGGTTGTAATTGAGTTTAGTTTTGTTGTTGTTGTGTTTGGTAAGACAGTCTGGATTAAATAACTTGCCCAGTCTAACAGCTAGTGTCAAGTGTCTGGTCTGAGACCAGATTTGAACTCAGGTCCTACTGACTCCAAGGTCAGTGCTCTATCCCCTGCACCACCTAGCTGCCCCAAATGAGTTTAGTTTTAAAAGAAATCAGGGATTCCATGAAGGGGAGGTGAAGAGGGAGAATATCCTAGGCATAGAGGACAGCCAGTCTAAATACATGAAGATGGGAGACAGGTGAGGAACAACAATCAGAGCATTATGGTTAAATCACAGAGTGGAGGGGAGGAATGGGTAAGAGGCTGGGGTCAGATTGGAAGGGGAATAGAGATTCACTAGACTTTATTGAGTAGGGAAGTTATATGGTCAGAACATAGCTTTAGAAAAATCATTTTTGCAGCTGGGCACAGGATGGCTTGACTTAGGTGTAGAGACTTGAGGCAGGGAAACCAATTAAGAAGTTGTATCAGGGCAGCTAGGTGGCACAGGGGATAGAGCACCGGCCCAGAACTTGGGAGGACCTGAGTTCAAATCTGGCCTCAGACCAAACACTTGACACTTACTAGCTGTGTGACCCTGGGCAAGTCACTTAACCCCAATTGCCTAAAAAAAAAAATTAGAAGTTGTATCAATAATCTAAGCAGGGGGGAAAATGAGTGCCTGATAGTACTGCAAGTGGAGAAAAAGTGAATGATATGAGAGATATTGTGGAGACAAAAACAAAATTACCAACCGATTCCATATATAGGGTGAGAAAGTGTGAGGAGTCAAGGATAACACTGATGTTGAAAGCTTGAGTGAGAGCCTGAGTAAGTTGAGAAGATGTTGTTGCCCGGGACAATAACATGAAAGTAACACCTTTAGAAATTAGTAAGTAGTAATGAGAGGATTTAAGCAGATATAACATCAAGTTGGGGAATTAGTTGATAGAAAAATATTTCAGCTGAAACCTTGAAAGTTTTAACTCCTGATTGATAAGATACGTGAACAGCAAAGCAAGTTTTAAATATCTAGGAGGTTCTTTCTTCTGATTGTATGTATACACACAGCCTCATCTTTCCTTGAATCACTGGAAGCTCCCACTCAATACAGGAAGAGCTTCATACCTGTTGGGTAACTCCAAATACCCAGGGGCTTTTTCTTTTCCCTTTCCCTCTTGGTATCATACATATATTTCTATTCTTCAACTTCCTGAAACAGATTACTGTTGTTGCCTAATCACATTCTTTCTCTTCTTTGTGTTCTTTTTTAATCACTTACTCTATTCCTTCCTATATCATTTTTGCTTTCTCCTCATGTTGGGATGTCATTCTGCCCTTAGTATATGTATGTACACACACACACACACACACACACACACACACACACACCATGCACACATGGACATGGACACACACATATACACACCATGCACATATGATTTTCTTTCACCTGTTTAGCCCTGTTTTCTCATCCAAAATATGGGGATGTTGGACTAGATGCACTTTTAATTCTGAACTCTATATGATATTAACCAAATGCTCGTGGGGGGAAAAAGAATTTGGCAACCCCTGAACTTAGTTTGCAGTTTTAAATTTTATTTTCTTCTGTCTCAATTCTGAAATGGGCCAGGTACCAAATTCTTACTTTATGAACTCAGAAAACAATCTGTTTTCATTCATTCCTTTCATTTCACACTTTTCATTGGATTTGTACTGGAGATTTTGCCCTGTGAAGTTTGGATTCACTCAAAGGGCTGCACCTGAGGACCAAGAGGGCCACATGTGGCCTTGAAGCTGCAGGCTCCCCACCCCTATCCTAGATAAATGGTTTAATTCCTCTTTTGTTTGTAGAACAGAAGCACTTATAAAGCTCTGGGTTTTTGAAAAGGGCTCAAACAGCTCTCATTAGCTTTTCTGCTTTCAGGATAGAGCATAAGGTGATAATTTATTCAGCAAGTAATTTAGAATGGTTTAGTATTCCTTAAGGTTTTCCTGGTAATGTTACTCTGTAGTGCATTTGGTAAGCACTAATTAGAGTAAATTGAAGGGAGTTAGTTCCCTAGAAATATATATTGTGTTGTGTTTCTGTATCATTTCATGTTCCTTCAGTTCTGATAGTTTGCATTTTAAAATGTCCATTTGTCCTACACTATTGACATTAAAAGATTACCTACTGTCAAGATACCTGTCAAGATAAATAATATTCATGAGATTTAGTGTTTTATAATTATGTCTTTTTGATGAAGTAACTCATTATAGTTTATTGTCATTTTCTGGTTAATAAATGTTTTATTTAAGTTATGATTTATTCCCTTCTTGGAATTTCTTAATTGTTTCTGTTTCTTAAAGATCAACTAACAGCATAAAAATATTTTGAAAGTAATTGTTCAGTGATGAGTTTTCTTGCCCTCTGCTTCCTCATTTCTTTTTTTCAGTGGCATAATAGGGGAACGCCTGCCAATTAGATATTACCTAACGTTTGGAATGTTTGCCAGTGGAGCCTTTACAACACTTTTTGGCTTGGGCTATTTCTATAATATTCACAATTTTGGTTTCTATGTCATAACTCAGGTAAGTACTTCAGCTTAAAGTAAAATACTACATAGATTATACACATAGGGGTTTAGTATTGTGGTTATTCTAGTAGTGTTGGAGTTAAGGACAAATGTTGCTTTTAAATGTCTTGGTCCTATTTATCTGTTTGAAACTAAGGTGACCCATTCAATCTTTAAAGATTCTTTTGACTTCAGGTATTTGTTCTCCAAGGAACTTTGTGTGTGTGTGTGTGTGTGTGTGTGTGTGTGTGTGTGTGTGTGTGT